TACTTACTCCCTGAGGCTCACTCAATTTGCTTATCTTTAAAATGGGATAATGGTGATAGTTCTCTCTTTACATGAGCTAATGCTTAGCATGATGTCTGGCACAGGAGTCTTAGCTACGTTATTTGTGTCCCTTCTCTCTTTTCCTACATGTCTTTTTAAATCTGAGTTCACTGGAGAGCCCCAACCAGTCATCAGATTCTCTCGGTCACTATACAAGGGACGGGATGCAGCATGAAGTGGCATCATTCCTGCCACATGGCACTTAGGACTTCAACAATTAATAATAAGAAGTGGGTTAATAATCACAACTGTGTGCTGGGGGATTGTTTACCAGGGAGACTGACATCATGGTCACCTAGGTCTCATGACATGAAGCCTGGCTCTGCCGTGTGCCAGGTTTTCATGCTAGATGGACTTGATATGACCAGCATTGGGCTCTAGGAGAGGTGATTTATACAGACAATTTCATTTCGTCTTCACAACCATCCTATTTGCCATACTAGAGTATCTCAGATTTTTCCCCCATGAATGTATGGCTTGGGGACACTAAACCAGCCCTAGGAGCACACTGACTTGTATATGGACGTGTCTAGGGTGTTTCAAGCCACCCATGGCAGCATTCAGGATGGGTGAATGCACAGTTGCTATCTGAGGATGGCTGCTTTTCTTCTGAAAGATGGCTTGGATGTGAAGGAGCACTCAGGAAAATCAGGGAGGGCAAAGGCGCGGTCAAGGGGCAAACGACATTGAGAAGCTCAACTGGAGTTTCAGCAGGACTGTGTCAAGCCCCAGGTGTCAGCAGGTGTCTGGTGGGACCCTGAGGTGTTCTGACCTTTCAGCTTGTTTCCGCCTGATGGGACAGCTGCCCTGTGTTCAGAACAACTGTGTGTGTACACGGAGTCCTGGTGTGCTGCTAACACTGGTCTCCTGACACCACTTGTCCAGTGTGGCGACTCCCAGCCCACTGAGCTCATTGGGCCCCCAAATCCAGAAATGGATGGGTGCGAATTTCTGCTGCATCTGGTGCATCGCATCAAAGTGAGATGATGTGGTTCAGCTCCTGGCTGTGTCACTTACTGGCTGGGTGACGTCATACATATCACCCATCTTGTCTGGGCATCAAGTTCCTCATTTGCAAAATAAAGACACTAGGGTGCCTCAAAGGTGATTCCCACTTGACATTCCCACCAGCAAGCACAAGGATTCCAATTTCTCCACATCCTCACCAACACTTGCTATTTCCCATTTTTTAATTTTGATAATAGCCATCTCAGTGGGTATGAAGTGGTATCTCATTGTGGTTTTGATTTGCATTTCCCTAATGATTAGTGATGTTGAGCATCTTTTCATGTGCTTATTGGCCATTTGTATGTCTTTTTGGAGAAATGTCTATTCAAGTCCTTTGCTCGTTTTTTTTTGTTTCCCTTTATATATATATATTTTTTTTTTGAAGAAGATTGGCCCTAAATTAACATCTGTTGCCAATCTTCCTCTTTTTTTTCTTTTTTCTCTCCAAAGCCCCAGTACATAGTTGTATATCATAGTTGTAGAGTTATAGCTCTTCTATGTGGGTCGCCGCCTCAGTGTGGCTTGATGAGTGTTGAGTAGGTCCATGCCCAGGATCCAGACCAGCAGACCCTGGGCCACCGAAGTGGAGGGTATGAACTTAACCACTACTCCCCTGGCCAGCCCTGCTTTGCCCATTTTTGAATTGGGTTGTTTGATTTTTTTGTTGTTGAGTTGGAGTTCTTTATATATTCTGGATATTAGTCTCTTGACAGATATATGATTTGCAAATATTTTCTTCCATTCTATGCATGGTTTTTTCACTGTCTTGGTATATTGTCTTTTTGGTGCACAAAAAGTTTTAATATTGATGAAGCCCATTTTATCTATTTTTTCTTTTGTTGCCTGTGCTTTTGCTGTCATACTTTAATAAACCATTGCCAAACCCAGGTCATAAAGATTTTCCCCTATGTTTTCATCTAAGAGTGAATTTCTTCTAAGTGAATTTCACACTTAAACTGGTTAAAGTGGTTTACTATAAGAAAAAACAAAATAAGTGTTGGCAAGGATGTGAAGAAACTGAATAACAAGTGTTGGTGAGAATGTGGAGAAATTGGAACTTTTGTGCATTGTCGGTAGATTGTAAAACGGTGCAGCCATTATGGAAAACGGTATTGGGGTTCCTTAAAAAATTAAAACTAGAACTACCATATGATCCAGTAATTCTACTTCTGAGTATATATCCAGAAGAATTGAAAGCAGGGTCTCAAAGAGATATTTGCACACCCATGTTCATAACAGCACTATTCACAGTAGTCAAGAGGTGAAAGCAACCCAAATGTACATGTATAGATGAATGCACAAACAAAATGTGGCATATACATACATATAATAGAATATTCTTTAGCCTTCAAAAGGAAGGAAAGTCTGACACATGCTACAACACGGATGAACCTAGAGGACATTATCTTAAGTGAAATAAGCAAAAAGGCAAATACTGTATGACTCTACTTATATGAGCTATCTAAAGTAGCCATATTCATAGAAACAGAAGTAGAATGGTGCTTACCAGGGGCTGGAGGGATGGGGAAAAGGGGATTTGTTGTCTAATGGATATAGAGTTTCATATTTGCAAGATGAAAAATTTCTGGAGATCTGTTTCACAACAATGTGAATATACTTAACACTACTGAACTATATAAAAAGCATTAAAATGGTAAATTTTATGTTTGTATATTTTACCACAATAAAAAAAGTTCATCCCCTCCCACCCCATAAACAGGGTGTTTACTGGACAATATATTTTTAAACAAGGAAACAAGATTATTCTGCAAACTATGGTCCATATTGGAACTTTGAGGTGACGAACTCCTGACAGGTGAATTTGACTTAGTCCATTGCCCTGACGCCTGCAGAATCCTTTACAAAATTGAGGCTAAATGTACTCTCCTCCCTGTGGTTTCACCCTCTGGGACTACTCCTACCTCTTGAGTCTACCTGACCAGTCTAATCTCTTGGTTGGTGGTTGGTGGCAGCTGCCATGATCACAGTAGCTACGGCTGACCAATTGCATGTCTCCCCTATGTCAGCACAGGATATAGGTAGTGTTCCCCAGTGTAGAGACAGAGAAAGCAGGGCTCAGGGAGACAAGCAACCTGTTCAAGGTTGTCACACAACCGACTGAGTAACCGAGCTGGGATCTGAACCCAGATATTCCTACCTCCAAACTGCATGTTTTCGATGCTAGGCTAGACTGCCTCTTGGCCAGGTTCCTCCCTAGCCTTCTTCTCTAAGATCCCTTCATCTTTTCTCATGTGGCTTTGTTCTGCATCCCTCACCAGATCATTCTTCCTCTTGCAGTAAACACCAGGTAAGTTTCCACCAAGACAGAGACAAGCCCTTCCTCTCACTACAGACACTGCCCACCTTTTCAGTAATGCCCTACTGGACCCCGCACCCTACAAAGCCCAGTGGCCCCACAGAGGGAGACAGCCATTGGCAGAAATCCATTACAAGGCCTCTGAAGCCCTCTTACCCCCACCTTCACCCCTTGCTAAAAGCAGAGGCCCGCCCCATCTGTCTCTCCTGCAGTATTTCCTCTCGGGAGTTCCTGCAAAGGAGGATGATGTGATCTCAGGATTAACAGCCTGTTTGTTTAAAGGGCTTATTACTGGTGCTTAATGCTATTTTGACAGATGAAAGTGAGTCAATTATAACTGGAAATAACTCTGGCTGCATACATTTCTTCCAGGTGGTTGCCCATTCCCCATCAAAGGGACTTTTTCTCTTTACCAAAGGGCAGTCCTCCTTCCCTTATCCCCGCTGACCCCCAAACCACTTTCCTCCTTCCAGGAAGAAACAACATTCAAGGCATGGAGCCTAAATCCGTGAGATGGGGGTTGCTGTGGCAGACCCACTCTGCGACCGGGGTGAAGCGGACGCTGAAGACAGGTCAACCGCCAGGATAAGGGATGCGGCCCCACAGAGCCCTGTGTCCATACAGGCATCACTCTGCTCCACCAGCCACGGATGTGGCCGCCTCTTATTGAATGTCTTTCTAGGTCTTTCTTGGGGACTATGGGTTTCTGTGTTGATACCCACCCTAATGAGACCAGCGCTGGTCACAGGCTTGGGTGCCTTGGGGGTCACCTTTATGACAGCAAGAGTCCTTTGTGGGTGGCTGAGAGGGCTTCCTGGGGTCACACTGAGTTATGCTAAGGCCCCAGTGAAGAGCATTCCACTGGTCAGTAGGGGTCTGTACAAAGAGGTCTCTTGTGTCAACAGAACAGGACTGTGAACTGCCACATGGGTGGATAGGCAACAGGACGCAGGGCCTGACCAAGCTGGGAGGTCAAGAGTGAGTGGAATATATTTGTAACAGGCATCTGAAGCTTAATGTGCCCAAGAAAGAACTCTCTTCCTCAACACCCCAAACACACATGGGCTTCTCCCAGGCTCTGCTATCACAGAAACTGACACCACTGTCCCCCATCTGCCCCAGCTCTAATCCCAACAGTCATCCTCGATTTCTCTTGCTCTCACCCCTTGTGGTCCTTAAATAGAATCCATCAGCAAATCCTGCTGCCTCTACTCCAAATTTTACAGCAACTCTGACCAAACTGCTGCCTATCCACTACCACCGCCCTAGTCTACGCCACAATTATTCCCGACCTAGACTATTGCAACAGCTTCCCAACAAGTGTCCCTGCTCCCACGCTTGCCCCCTTATGGCTTATTCTCCACGCAGCAGCAGTAGGAGGATCGTTCTCAACATAGCTCTCCAGCCAGCACCACCAATTCCCAGACAAAACCCATTTGCCAACCCCCCTCAATTCTCCAGGAAGGGAGGCTCAGAAAGGTCGGTGACTTGCTGAGGTCACACAGCTCGTGAGGGTAGAGCTGGGATGGAAATGCATCCGAGAAAGGAGTATCGCCTACCAAGCGCCTCCCACCCTCAGTGATGGCCCCCCCGTTCCCGTGGAGAGGCCGCTCACCCGCGGACGGCGTGCAGCAGGCGCAGAGAGGGGTATGCAGTACGCACGTTGACGCGGTGCTTCAGGATGAGCTCGTTGACCCACTCAACGCGCTCCTTGCCGCCCCTGGCCATGAAGGCGGGGATCCACAGGATGCTGCCATTGAGGCTGTGCAGCCGCTGCAGTAGCTTCTCCCGCCACGTGGCGTTGACCAAGTCCTCGAAGGCCCGCTGGATGACGGAGGGGTTCATGGTCACCAGGTCTGTCTTGAGCCCCACATCCCGGGCATACTCCTGCACTGGGGCCAGGTTGCACCTGCCGGAGAAAAAGGCAACACGGTCCTTTTGAGAAAGCTGAGACACTGCTTGCTATATTTCACTTTACCCATCCTTTGCCTCTCCTCGCTTCCCCCTCATCCCGAAACAAAAACCCAGGGCATCTGCTGCACTCTCCAGTCCCTCCTGCCACCCCTGCTCCTTTGTCTCCTGCTGCACACATTTACTAGGCTCTTAGCACATACAGAGAACTTCGCTGGGCCCTGGGGTGTAAGATGCCTGTCTTCTGGAGTTCGGGATCTAGTACAGAAGGAAGGAAGCAAGTAAGCCAGCCCTCAGCCCACAGGATGACTGTGCTATACAGGCAGGTGTGACCTGGCCACATTAGGTGACAGAGTGAGGGCTCTGAAGGCACACTCCTGGGTTCAGAATTCAGAATGGATGCTCTGATACTTTCTACCTGTGTGATTCTGGACAACTTGCTCAACCTCGCTGTGCTGCCTGAGAGCTTCCTCATGGCTGAGGAATATCTACAATGGTTTCTTTAGCTATCATGGAACACCGCCTCCTCCCAGGGATTAAAGGGGTCGCTACACACCCAGTACTTAGAACACTGCTGGACCACATAAAAGCTCGATAAAGGTTAACTGTTGTCATCACTGATATGGGAAGGAGGAGCATCAGGTGGTCTTCCTGGAGGTGGTGACCATTGAGGGAAGTCTAGAAGGACAGATGAGCAGAATTTCATTTGTGGATAAGTCACGTTAGGAGAGTGTTTCTCCAGCTTGCCAGCAGAAGAATCATCTCAGGCAGCAGTTAAAAATACAGTCCCCTGGTCCCTCGCCTGGATATCCAGATTCAGCAGGTGAGCCTAGGAATTGATATTTATTTTTACAAACTCTTCAGATCAGTCTTATAACCAGGCACTTTAGGAAAAATCATAAGAAATGTATCCAAGGGCATACAGGTGTGAAACAGTGTGGGTATTTAGGGGAGGGCAAGTGAATTGACTGGGGCATATTGTGTGGAGGAGATAGGGCTGGAGAGGCAAGCAGGGTGAGCTCTCAAAGGGTCTGTATGTCAAGGACTTAGTTCCAAGGGCAATAGGGAGCCATTGAAGGTTCTTGAGCAGGAGAGTAACATGGACAGATTTGCATTTTAGGCAATAGCTAGACAACAATAAGATGAAGTTGTAACAGATAATGGAGTGGATGGAATTGGGTTTGGAAGGGCAAACTAAAAGGTCATTGCATTCTCTTGCTGAACCAGCCAGGGACCCTGGGTGGGCAACCTTTGTTATCTCACTAGAGGTCTGCTCTGTGGGGGACCTTCATGGGTCCAGCCTGGGTGTGCACACCTCGGCTTCCTGCCCATGCTGAAAGCCCATGGGACTGGGATGGCAGGAGGGGCACTTCTGGGGAGGCCTGGCCGCAGCCTGGTGGAAAAGCTCTTCGACCAATGGAAATAAGTCTGAGAAATTAGAATAAGTGTTTACAGAACAGAGGCTGGAGATGTGAAGACCAGGGCCACACGTCACTGCCAAATGATGAAACCCAGAAAGAAACCACTTACCCCTCCTTTTAAGCAAGGACTTTCTTCCTTCAACAATTAGGGAGAAAAAGTAAGATAATCAGAAAGAAAAGTAACATCATGGAGCCCCTGGTGTGTGTCAGCCACAGCCGGTCCTTTACAGAGCTCAGCTCAGCTTATTCTGACCCAGTTTTAATCACCCTCATTTTACAGATGAGGAAACTGAGGCCCAGAGTGTGCAAAGTAACTTGCCCAAGTCCCAGAGCTAGTCAGCGAACCCAGGACTCAACCTCAGGTGTGTCTGACTTGAAAGCCTGTTTGCTCTGTCAGGCCCCTCTTCCCATTCCCACTCTTCCGTTCCCATCCCAGCCTTGCTATCTGACTGTGGCTAAACATTACAAGGTGGTGGAATTGTCTTGGGACACCCTCGGGAGCCTGTCACAGACCTCAGAGGAACAGAGTGTCATTGTCATCATGTAGGCCAGTTTGGGACCACTCAGGTCTCAGTTAGCCCTATTGTCCCGAAGCCCAGCTGAGCCAGGCTTCCAAGACCTTCCTGAGGATCTGGGCCCTCTTCCAGGCCGGCCTCCAGGACTGAGAGCAGGGGGAGGTGGACTCAATGCAGTGCAGATCTCCCGAGTCTATCATGGGCCAGTAGCGGCTGCAGGAGAGGCAAAGAAGGACGCGGATGTGGAGCCGTCCCCCGGGGCTTCCAGGGTGGTCGGGGGGGAGGAAGCAGGGGAGTCCATGCCCCACTACAATATCGGGCAGTTGGGGTGTCGTCCACCTACGGTGCTGTGGGTTCGGGGAACCCAGGGGCTCTGAGCTCCCTGGGGGCAGGCCCCTGCCCTCATTCAACATGGGACCCAGCACACAGTAGGTGTTCCAGGCAGGGAGGGGCTCTGAGGGCCAGGCTTTTCCCATGACCATGTCTCAGGGGCACTCTTTGAGTGAGGATGATAGGGGGCAGCTCCGCCCTGACGGGATGCTCTAGACACACCCCTCTCTCACCAGGCATGAATTTCTTCATTTGGGGGGCAGCGGGGGGAATCAGGATGGGGTGAGCCTCATCTAAGCTCCCTCTTTTCCAACAGTAGGCCAGGCCTCTCAAAGCGAATTCTGGGTGGGCTGCGTTGCTTGGATGGGCGTGGCTCTGGGCTGGAAAGGAGTCAGTCCTTTCCAGAAACAGGCACGTCCGCAGGGGCACAGGGAGCAGCAAGCCTGCAGGTGAGAAAGGAAGCTTGCGTGGGCTCTGAGCCGGCCTGCCCAGGCCCACAGCCTGACCCTGGCCTGGACCAGCCGCTCGGCCTCTGGCTCTCTGTACCTCAATTTCCCCATTGAAAAGCCAGGACAAAACAGAACGTTCCAGACAGGGTTTTTGTGAGAATTAATTAATAAACATGAAGAATAAACAAGAATTCCACCTGGTGCATGCTAATGCCTAATAAATGTGAAGCCATGACGATAATGACGATGATTTATCTGTGAAAGGGCATTTGTTCATAGGATTCTTCTTGTGAAAGGGGTGTGTGTATGTGTGTGTGTGCGTAAGTGTGTGTCTGTGTACAATGAAGATTTGATCCCTGACGTCTGGGGATTTACTCTGCACACACATGGCCCTGAGTTAGGCAGTCTCTTCACCCTGGCATTGCAGGCTCGTGGGCACCAGCCTCCCGTCCAGCCTCAACTCCCAGCGCCGCCTTATACAACCTAAGCTCGGTCAAGCGCCGGCCTCCCTGATCTGTCAATCTACTTTCTGGCTTTCATGCCTCTCCTCATGCTGCTTCCCCCTCCTCGGTATCTTCATTTGCCAAAGTCAGCCAACTCAAATGCTGCTTCTTGAAGCCGGCCCTGCACTCCTCCAGGAGGCTGCATGTTTTGCAAGCTCATCGCATTTTGCATGCAGTGTGTCCTCCCACGACTCCCATGCAGAGTTCTCTGAGAGGCGCGAGGTCTTACGTGTCTCCCACGCAGAGGAGGGGCCCAGTAAACACAGAGCTAGCCGAACTGATTGAAGACTTGGGTTGACAGAGACCTTGAATGGGCCATTAGGACCTTCGAGGTGTCCGTTATCTCAGTGACACTGCGTGGAGCCCTGCCTCTGTGCTGGGCACAGGCTTGGACTGGACTCCAGAGATGGACACAACCACTGTGCTTTGGAGGTGCTCACAGTTGGGGTGAGGTGGATGAGGTGGGGACACAGGGTCTACAGAGAGCTGCTGTTCAGAGAGGCAAACGCTAGAGGAGAGGTGGTGAGGAATCGTGGTGTGACCTTCACGGATCCCAAGGAAAGGCAGGGGAGGGAATGAACACAATGTGCCCTGTTGTGGGAGACACGGCCTGAGCACACTCCCACACGTCCGCTCAGGCAGCGCTCCCAGCACCACACTCCGTCTACTCTCTGCGCGGGATCCTCCAGGTGGGGGGCACAGGCGCTCCCCCAGGTGGGAAGAACCCAGAGCAGAGGGCCCCATGGGGCAGAGGAGCCAGTGCTGCCACTCAGCATCAAACATGGGGTCTGTACACAGTAGGGTCGCGTAATATTGTCCTAAAACACCTCTCAGTCTACCCCACAGACATGCAGGTCTGTGCGAGCCACGTGCACAGACCTAAAGGTCAAAGGGCAATTGCACATAGTTTTGAGTAGCTCTCTCCTTGGCATTTTAGGTCTCTCTTTTCTAAGTATGTATGGACAGGTGTGGACACGACTCCCAGGAGAGAGGCAAAGCATGCTACGGTCGTGCCTCTTAAAGTGCTGTTCCCACACCAGCAGCTGGGGCATTAGAAATGCAGAGTCTCGGGCCCCATCCCAGACCCGATGACTCGGCATTTTAATAAGCTCAGGTGCTTCGTATGCTCGCTGTAGTTTGAGGGGCGCTAGACTAAAGAATAGGCAGTATTCACAATGGAAGGACCTCAAAGACGCCAGTCCAACCCGCCCATTTTACAGATAATGAAACTGAGGCCCAGAAAAAGGAGTGACACACTCCAAGTCACATGACAAATGGGGGCAGCAGAAACAAGACTGGACCACAGACACCACACTGCTTGCCTCGCCGTGTAAGTGTCCAAAAAGGAAACTGTTGGCCAGAATCTGCCGTTGTCTCTGGAAATTCCTGAAGCAGGGCCGGGTGGAGCATGGAAAGCTCCCTGCTGAAACTCATGAAGAAGGAAGAAGCATGGCTTATGTGTGTGACACCAGATCAGAAAGGCTGCCCTCCATGCTACCCAGCACCCGGGAGGGGATATGACTCCACCTGGAGGAGGATTCTGCCCCACACTCACCCTTCTCCAGCTGCCAATCAGACAAACCCACCACCCTTTAGACCGGAGGGCTTTGAGAACTAGGGGCTGAGCTATTGGACACGCCAGGCACAGACCGAACCTGGCAAAGCATAACAAACTAAAACCAGTTTGGCTGCTGGGCTGCAATAGCTCTCCCATCGCAGGGGATATGGGAGTAAACACACCACCCACCCCCACGTCCTGAGGTTCCAGGAGCTCTAGCATAAGGCCGCTTCCCAAAGCCCCAGGACAAGCCTCTCTGCGGCGGGACAGTCCCCCAGAAACATGAGACATGGTATGCGGCTCTGCCAGGGCTGGGGCGCTGTTTGGGATGAAACCCAAGGCTCTGTGTGCCCTACTTTCGACCAGAGGACAGCAAGGCCTTGTTTCCCAGTCTGTCTGGGTTGGGGGTCAAGTGTCAGGGCCATGGGTAATTGTGTCCACATGCGTCCCAGGTGACTGGAAAACGAGAGCTGATATTTCAGCAGAAATGATGGTCGAGTACAAAATCCAAGTTTCTCTGCGGCCTCCTCACTTGCCAGATTTTGAACTACAGGATAGTAAAGTTACTAGTAGAGTACCACCTTCCAGAACACTTAAAACGAGTTTTGCAAACTTGGACCAAGAACGGGCCAGCCCAGACCGGATTTTTTAACCAGCCTTTTGTAACAGGCTGTATGTAGGGGTCGGTAAATTGTCTGTAAACAGCCAGATGATAAATATTTTAGGCTTGTGGGCTACATGCTCTCTCTGCAGCAACTCTTCACTTCTGCCCACTATTTCAACTCTACCTTGTAGTGAGAAAGCAGCCACTGAGATATCAAAATGAATGGGCGTAGCTCTGTTCCAATAAAACTTTATTGACAAAAGCAGGCTGTGGGCCAGTCTGCCCATCTCTGTGCTAGGTCAGTGGTTCTCAACCTTGGCTGTACACCGGAAGCACCCAGGCTCCCTGGGCCACATGCCCCCCACCCTTCAGATTGATTTAATTGATCTGGGGTGCAGTCTGGACATTGGGACTTTTAAAGGCTCCCCAAGCAATTCTAATGCGTGCGTAGTCAAGATTTAGAGTGGGGAATTATCCAACCAGTGTGTCGTATTTCTACCTCTTGGGACAACTGGCAGTGCTCAACTTAAGTACGCCTGTCACTTTGGGCCCTGAGCCCCTGCTGTGGTTACCTTATGACAAAGCTGTGTGTGTCAATCTCCTGCCCGCAGCCGCTGTTCAGCAAGACCCCAGAGTTGCCCACAATGGCACAAGTCCGGAAGTGCTTGTTCTTCAGCGGAGAGGTTCTGGGGAGGAGCTCGTAGAGGTTCTGCGACACGTTCATCGTGCTGTCTCGGTCGAAGATGTAATGAATAATGTCTCCAGGCTTCAGGGTCCCCTTGAGGACAGAAATGTCCTTTTCAGCATCCAAGAACTTTAAGATTTGCTTCCTACAAAGACCAAACACACGTGAAGAAAAAGTCTTCCTTCCCTTGTCCAACCCAGCTTTTCCTGTCCTTCGTCACCCTGCAGGGCTGCTGCAGCCTGCACGCAGGAGGAGCTCAGAGTTCAGATGCCCTCCGAGAATGGGTTCCAGGAAGGGATTGTCAGAAACAGCTCAGAGGCGACCAAGGTGGTGGCCTATCTGGTTGCTGTGGTTACGCCCTCTCCCCATGAGATGTGATAACTGCCCTGAGAAAAGACTCCATTAGGACACAGTCTGAACTCATCACAGAGGGCTCCAGAAGGAAGGGTGACCCACTGTCCTGACTTGCCCAGGACAGCCCAGTTTTAGCACTGAAAGTGCCGCATTCCAGGGAACCCCTCAGTCTTGGGCAAATCCAGACAGTGGTCACCCTACATCACATCTCCTCTCTTAGCAGAATTCAGGACCATCATCTGACAGGAAGTCCTCAACTAGGGACAGGAAACCAGGATGATACATGCCCCTCATTCCTCAGTGGCCTATTTTCTTCCATGGAAACCTTCTCTGGCCAAAGGGGCCTCTAGGGGGTAAATGGGAGTGTGGATACTGTGAGGTGTGTCAACCACACTGCCTTTGAGAGGCTGAGAACATAGCCTGCCGTCTGTGTTGTAGAGTGTGTGCCCCTGGCCCCTCATTGCTGTCTAGTTTGGGGTTTGTAAATATTGATACCTCTCTGGTCCCACAGAGCAAAAGTGATCAAAAAACAGCTCTCTAGAGTCTAGGTTGACTTTGATTTAGGAGGAAAGTTCTACAATCATCTAGCAAAGTACACAGATGGGATGGAGTGTGGGCAGAAAAAAGATGAATGTCCTCTCAGAATCACCAGGCGAGTTTTAGTCAAACCATGCAGGCCTGCCCCCAGGAATTTGAGGATCACAGCTGGGGGTTTTACTTAAAGAACCGTCTAAATCACCAAAAGATCTTTAGAAATGATTTAAGTCATAGAGGGAAAAATATTTGGTACCTAGATCAGCTGAAATGAATTTCATTTCCTGCAGCAAGCTGCTATCTAGGGCAGATACAACGATGCCAGTTGGCTTCTCCTCAGAGCCCTGGAGGGACAGGATCTTCACATACTTTACAAGTGGGAGAATTTGCAAAATGGTTGCCCATTGTACAGATGGTAATACTGAGGCCCGAGAGCCTGCGGGATCTGGGGTGTATCCCAGTAGGATGCACATTCAATCACTTGGTGAACCATAAAGAATTCAGAAGCTCCGGGCTGACATCTGAGAAATCCTGATTCTGAGAGTGGCCCAGGTCTCAGTACGCTTTCAAAAGCTCCACAGTTGACTCTAACTGTGACCAGGACTGGGAGCCTCTGGTGTAGCCCAGGGCAGGGCACCACACTCTTCTTCCACTGTCTTTCCTTATTCATGACCTGGATCTCTTGTATCTTGCATGGGAAACCCCTCTCGCTGAGTAATTTGTATCTCTTGATGGCAAACGGGGCACTATTTTTATTTACTGCACGTTACCAAGGATTATACAACTTGACAAACTAATACAGTTTGGAAATAGCTAAAACCTTTGCATTTACTTACCCCAAAGTATTTAAAAGCAAAGAGAGACCCCCAAAAAGCCCATAAATAAACACCTCTGTGAGGGAATTAATTTCTAACTAATTACGAGAAATTACTATCAATATATTCCACATCACTCGCAGAATCTTTGATTATGAATAATTCTGGTGATTAATTGAAGGGAGTTGAAGGAAATTCTTTCTCCCCCTGGGTGAAGCACATTGTTCCTGCCGAGGTGGCTGCGTGCTTGCAGGCTGCCCATGAAGGCCACAGCCTGGTCTTCTCCTAAAGGGGTGTGTGTGTCCATTTCTCCACCCCAAGGTGGGAGAAAGGCCCAGTGGGAACTGCCGGTGGGCGTGTGCTGGTGGGAGGATTTCACTCACAGGTGGTGTAGTGGGGTGAATAGTGGCCCCCGCAAAATGTAAATCTCCTAGCCCTTGGAGCCTGTGATGTGACTTTATTTGGATCTTTGCAGATGTAATTAAATTAAGGATCTTGAGATGCGATCATCCTGGAATACCCCGGTGGGCCCTACATCCAATGACAAGTGTCCTTATAAGAGACAGGAGAGGGGAAGACACACACAGAGGAGAGGCCATGTGAAGACGGAGGCAGAGACGGGAGTGATGCGGCCACAAGACAAGGGACGCCTCGGGCCACCCAAGCTGGAAGAGGCAAGGAAGGATTCCCCCGAGAGCCTTCAGAGCGAGCACTCAGAATTCTGGCCCCCAGAACTGGGAGAGAATATATTTCTGCTGTTTTAAGCCACCAAGCTGGTGGAAATTTGTTCCGGCAGCCGCAGGACGCTAATGCAGGTGTTCTCACTGATGCCCAGGGCTGCTGATCCCAGGGTCAGTAACGCAGGCCTGCAGCTGTTAGGGCAGCGTTGGGAGGGGGTGGAGGGAGGGCCTCAGAAGAGGTGCTGGGTGAGGGGTGGCCACAGGAGTCAGCTCCTTCAGATGGATTCTCAGCTGCCATGTCCCAGATCTCATGCCACTCTATTCCCTACACCCCCCATGTTCCAAAATAAGGCCTCGAGAACTAGGGGATGGGGGCATTTCCATTTTGACAGTGAGCCTACCTGGAAGGGGCGCCTCCCTGCTGTGTGGTGACACTTTTTGGTAGCTATGGGCAAGGCTGACCCCTGTGCCCAGACCCCAGTTCTCCACTCCCTCCCCACGGTGTTGGCCTGGGAAGGTTGGCTGTGATAGTCAAGGCTTTCCCCATCTGGTCCCGGCTACTGCACCAACCTCACCCCTCCATCCCCTACCCCCGGCTTCACAGTCCAGCAGCCCTGAGCACAAACACCAGACTTTAGACTCCGTGCATGTGGGACACAGCTTGGCATGTCTGGCAAACTCCTATTTATCCTCCAAAACCCATTGCTCCTGGCAAGCCTTTCCTGGCCAGCCCTCTTAGTCACCTTAAAAAATGAAGTACTATCTCTTCAGTATGACCTGTCTATTTCCACCCACTTATAAGATGCAATCTCGCACTGCCCCGTCCTTTCGTTGCTTATATTTCTGTCTTCCCACGAGCAGGTCTGACTCATGTCAGCACCCCTGGCCCCCAGCACAATGCCTGGAAACCAATCGTTGGATTCTACTGCCCGACCTTTGCTGGGTTGATCACAGCTATATCCAAGTCAGCGGCCGCAGTGCTGATGTTGTAACCCCTTCCCCATTCCCACCACCCAACAGTGACTGCAGAGCTCGGAAAACACACCCTGCAAAGAGCAGGACAAGACCTTGTGGTCAGGTGTCATGTCAGCTCCTGCTCACCCGATGCCCAGCTATGGCTTTTCACTTTCACATTGTCAGGGAGCGGCAGCCCACCCAAGCCACAAGGACCGTGGGAGGGGGCAGCACTCCAAAGATAAACGGGAGGACTGTCGCCACAGAAAGGGGACACGGATGCCAGGCAGGCCCAACCAGGAAATGTTCCCTTATGCCGGAGAAGAACTGCTGTCTCTGGGCCCTCTGAGAGAGGCCATCTGTGGCTGCCACCCCCCAGGCCCTTGCTGCTGCTGACCCAAGAGCCTCACTCCTTCCAAACCCAGGAACTCAACCATGTGGCCCTGCCACCTTGCCGGCCTGAGTCACTGCCCACATGTGACTGGTGGCCAGGCCTCAGGTTTTCATTTCCGATTGATCACTTACAGAAGAAACCTGCCTCAGCGGGAAGTAAACATTTTATTTCTATCCTGACTTCTTAGATGATGGAGAGTGGCAATTTCCCGGCTAGCGCTGGGGAAGGCCAGGTCTGTCTCTTGCCCTGTAGGTAATTACCACTACCTGATCCTCAGCGAGAGCGTCTCGTTGTGCTTCCACTTGGCCGAGGCTGGCTGGATGTTGTGCTTAATGCTTTCATTACTTCTGTCAACAACAGCTGGCGATGAGGAGCCATTTATTACAACTTCAGCTCTGGAAGGAAAAAAAAAAGAGGAAGAGGGTAGACATGATCTGTTAGCATGCCAATGACAAGTCTAATAGTTTTGTTTTTGCACGGGCTTGAATGTAAACTTCGGAAGAGCAAAATTGCTGTTATTACCTGAGAAGGGAAGGAAGTCTATTTATCTTCTAGAATGCACAAACTCTCTCCCTCAGGTATAACCTACATACATTCTTGGAGACAGGAAGGGGGTGATAAAACTCTCCTTCTCTCCACCCCCACCCCTAATGTTCCCTCCCGGTGGAACCTAGCAGTCACTGTCAGAATAGTAAGACTTCTTCAAGCTACTTGTGCAAAACTCCAAATAGCAGTTGCATTAGCAGCCAATTATCAAAAGATGGTTGAGAAACTTAATAAAGAGAAAACAAAAAGTCACACCATGGCAAGCGATGTAGCCTGTGGCTTCTCCCTCCTCCTCCATATGCTATCACTCTCTTGTTTGTAACTCTAAGATGCCACTTCAAACATCTGCCTTGTGCCAGAGTCATCAGAGCCGTGTCTCTCTCTCCCACTAGACTGTAAGCGGGAGCTCCTTCGCTCATTTCTATATTCCCCAAGGGTCTAACATAGCCGGTGCTCAATAAATGTTTGTTGCATTTGAATTTTGCCCTGGGGGAGCCGCGAGTGGGTGAAGGAGCTGGCTGGCTCTGCATGCCCGGGACAAATCACAGTTCTGGTGCACATCGTCTTTCCACCTGACTTAGGGACACCAGGCATTACAGGACCCGCTTGAATTCTGAGGCTTGAAATCTATGCTAGTAGGTTTCTAAGAAACTGGGTTACAATTACATCTCGTAAGGCAGTGGAGGAGACAGCCTGCCTCCGCCAGCTGCACACAGATGTATGTGGGTCATTCAGAAGTCCCTTTTGTCTGTGCTGCGGCAGATTCTCCCAGTTAGAATGGTAAGTGGATTTGTGATGCCAAATTCTGGAGCTTTAAAGAATTCAAACCAAACATCTACGTCCTCTGCATCTATCTTGGAACAGCCAAGTTAAAAAAGATGAAATCCTTTTAATGAGGTCTTAAACCTAATGCTCTCTTTTGCTTTTTGTAGGTAGAGAAGAAATTCATTTGGGGGTGCACATTGTCTCCTCATATTCCCCACACACCTCCACTCCTCAATATTCCTGACTCCTCTGGCTGAGATCACTTGTCTTGGATTCAAATATATGTAACTTTTGCAGAGGATAGAAAATTAAAGGGTCTTTAGTAAGGCAGATGGACTCCAGCATGCAGGCTTAAGGGAGCCTCTGCGAGGAAACAGAAGACCTGACACTTTGTAATTTTTGCTGTTTTCATGGAAGGAAGCAGAGGGTATAGCAGAAAGATTTTACAAGCTGTGTGACTCTGGGTAAATCACTTTACCTCTTTGAGCCTCAGTTTCCCCATTTATAATGAAAAGGTATAGAAGAAGAAGATATCTAGGTCTAAGGTTCTAGAATTCCATAAGGACCACCAATGTCTCCTGCACCTACCACTGGCTGCCATCTCATGAGGCTCCAGGAGGAGCTGGCTGTGGCTGCACCTCTTTGGTACCCCTACTTCTGTGTAGGTCACAGGTAGGAGCAGGGGCCCTGAGGACCACGGATTTAGCTGCCATACCCCAAGACCCCAAGCTTCCCTGAAGCTTATGTCAGTAGTTATATGTGATAGAAATACTTTAACATTTGTGATGAGGAGCTGTCTTCCTGAGAGGCCAGCTGATACTCTCATCAGTAATCAATGACTGGGACCTGGCATCTTATGGCTTAAGGTGGACTCAATCTAGGGTGATCCCCTCAGAACCTGGGGCATACTGGGTGAACCCAGGCTCTCTCAGGAAAGAAGGGTCTGCAGAGGTATTCTATCATGGATGCTTGCAGAGACCTGGTAGGAAACCTCCAGAAGGGGTTTCTGGGCTTCTCTGGGACACACGGTGGTGGAACTAGGAAAAGGAAGGAGATAAATGTTGGCATGGCTAGCGGTGAAATTCCATTTCTATCTCCACTTCCTAGTGAAGCCCTGGACGGGATCCTGCATGGCCAGCCATGGTCCTACTGAACTTCACCCTGGCTCTGTCTCTGTCTAGTGGGGGGACTTGGGAAGGTCACTTTGGGTCTCTGGCCTCTACTTTCTTATCTGTAAAACCAACCGGATGGATAGATAACCCCAGGGACCACCTCGGTGCACTGGGTTTACATGCTCTGTGTTCCACAAACACAGCTGGATTGGTGAGTTGAGATATTCCTCTTCAGTGAATGCGTCCTCCTGTCCCCAGCACCCCCTCCACCCCAAGGACACTAGAGTCTTATTTCAGGCTTAAGTTTCTTTGCCTACCTCAGTGGCCATCTCCTGATGCCATGGACATGTCCATAGTGATAGCAATGAGCATCAGCTGAGTGCCTTTAACAGATCAGGCACTAGGCTAGAGCCTTATATTCAGTAGTTCTAACCTTTGAAACACCTCTCAAAAAAGGTGTTGCATTGTTGCTCTAATTGGATGAGGAAACTGAGGCTCAGAGGGGTGAAATAACTTGGCCAAGGCTCCGGCTAATAAGCACCGGGACTGAATCCAGGACTGCCTGGCTTCCAAGGTTGTTCTTCCACTTCTCATACTCTATCCCAATAAGACTGTGCCCTCCCGCAGCCAAGTTACCACAGGGCACAAGGATCCTGCTCAAGGGGCAGGATCTTCTTTCTCCAAAAAGGGGCACCTTTCTGCAGTGGAAGAGAGAGGAGCTGAGGGCCACACGACTTCCTCTTTTATATCTGCCACATCTATCTGCATTTCACCAGGCATAGTGCAAGCTTCATTTGTAGTCCCAAGGTAGTTAAGAGGTCATTGGAGATCTAGAAGCAATGATGTGAAAGACAGACAGGGCAGTCAGTCATGACTGAGTCACGCAGGCAGGGTCAGGAATGGACATACTCGACAGCTCTCATATGGTCAAGAGACCTAAAAAAAATATGGAAGGGCAAAGAACAGACCCTACTCTGAATAATTTGGACCTCTCATTCCCAGACTGACCAAAACAGGATATTTATAAAGTGAAACAAGACCTTCATTTTGAGTAGTGGCCTTCGTTTATGTCAAACAACTTGGCATTCTCTTCTCCCTTCCATTGCTGTAGCTCAGGTTGATAAGACTAGGTCAGAGCTATGGGGCAGCTGTTACTGGTGGAGAATGGGGACTCGGAGGCATGGTCCAAACATAGCCGGTGGCCAGCCTGGGTCTGTTGGCTTGCAAAGCATTTTTGCTCGCTCCCTTGCATCCAGCTGTCCCTGGCCAAGGACTGTTACGGAGGAAACACTCTTTCGGAATTTAAAGTGTGCATTCAATAACCAAGTTTAACATTATTGAGTTGACTCCCTAAATATTTTTAAGAGGTCTCAGCAAAGTTTCTGAGTTATTTTCCATCCTAACCTGGACAAGCCTAGATCTACCACAACATTGGGTGAAAGTCCTGATTCCCTTCAGAGTCTCCACTGCTCAGCAAAAATACAAGTTATGAATAAGCTCATTGGTGGCCCAAGTGCTTCAAAGTGAGTGGGCTCTTTTCCAAAAAGCACTGTTACCCTTCTGAGTTTTCCATCTCAGCAGCCTCTAGACCTTGGGCCATTTCATGGGCTCTTTTATCGACAGCACCTCCCCAAAAGTGATTAGGGAAATGCAAAGCCAAAGTGAAACGAAACAGATCTATTTGCTAAGTAAGAAGGGCACCATCCAGCAAAGAGGAGAAGCAGATTAATAGCTGCCTTACAGCAAAAACAAATGAACACAAAATCTAATTTACAAACCTATTAGATTTGCTATGTAAGCTGTTCACAGCTGATCTGATTGTACCTCTGCCTCCAGAATTCCTGCAAGACAAAGGAAATGCATTATTTATAAACCCAGCTCTTCTTTGCAAAGCCCTTTCCAATCACTGGGAGATCCCACAGCCCACCTGGAGAACTACAAAGGGAGGCTGAGATCTCATTTTGGCCTCTCCAGAATGGGCAACATTCTGGCCCAGCCATAAGCCCAAGCATTTTACAGGGAAGTAGGTCTCCCAGATCCTCCCCTGCCTCCCACTTGAACACTGTTTCAATTCGAACCAAGGTTTCCACTTAAGACTCCTCATTTGAGACAAATTCCTTTGGGGTTAATCTCCCCTGGTTAATCCCCCAGGATAGTTTGCCTCAGCATGACTCAGCATCTGCTCTAGCATGACTCAGCATCTGCCCCTGGTCTTCTCTTGCTTTCACTCACATGTGGTAAGATGTTGTCCATCACGCTTTCTCCAAACTTGAAACACCAGAAGTTCAACAGGGGCAGCAAGATTGACTCAACACTGCCTCCAGCCAAATGTGATAATAATTAGCTTTTTGGTGGGAGGAAAAATTCTATTAAGTGGTGTCACTTTGGAGGAGGAGAAGGAGATGGGTGAGTAATAGGGTCTTTTGCTTCTTCCTCTGGAGGACAAGTTTTTAGGGTGAAAGCATTCTAAGAGCCTTTCCAGCCCCACCATCCATTCAGTCAATTCCATTCTGGATGGGGCTACTGGGCCATGAAGCTTCACCCTGCTTTGCTATCACACTGGGCTGGGGGACAGATGAATCCCTCTGCCCTTAGTACCTAGCTCATTTTGTGCCCTGTGTGTTTTTAAAAAGTTGTGTGTGAGACTAGTTATCTTTATTAAATAATGTTTTTTCCACTAATTTATAGGATGTGTGGTTTGAGGAGATATTTCTTCATACTTTTCTCACTTTTTTAAGTTCCATCTAGCCTTTGATCAAGGTGTGGGTGCACTCCAAAGAAACACTGAAAATCACCGAGAAACCTGTGTATTTAACGGAATCCTGTGATATTGTGAGAACTCTTTGGGGGAAGTTAAGGCCTATCTCCATACTGGTTTTAAGTCTGGATTTTTCTATCTGCTTTCTTTAGGATTCGCACGCTTTTGGATATAAAATTGTGGGTGTGAGTGTGTGTGTGTAAACACATATACATGTCTTTTCTTGATAGGTTGAAATGTCTTTTCAGCATTATTTGGCAACAGGCAAAATTCTCCCCACACACAGCCAGCTGAGCAGACAACAGGAAGAGTGCCATGACTCCCCCAGGCCTCATCCCAGCTCTCCCTTCAGGTCTCCGATTTCATCACTCCCAGTCTAGTTCTTCCTTACACAGAGTATCATTGGTTCGTCACAGTTGAAATCAACGCCTAACATTTCTGTTTTCTCCCTCCTCATTTCCACTTGGGATGGCGGAGCTCTTGTACTTCTAACTCAGGGGTCTGGGAACATCTGGCCAGCCCTGGCCCTAGAACCATAACCCACTCCGGTCAGACCCCCAGGGCTTTCCTGGGCGTGCTGCTGTCCACATGTCCCGGACCTTTCACGTCCTCCCACCCCCACCCCAGTCCTCAAAATCAGTACTCCCTGGGGGGAGAGGAGACTTGCGGGGCTAGATAGCAAGTGAACGACAGTAATTAACAGTGTGGTAATAGCTGAAGGCTAATGAAAGGTTAATGGCACAAAAAGATCATCCAGAAATGCTGCATGTGAGAATTGATTTTTAAAAATCATTATCAAGGAGAAATTCAATACATGGTCTGGAGCAGTTGGTTAACAATCTGGAGGTAAGTTGGAGGAAAATCAGTTGAGCGTGCCCCTACTCCAGACAGCAAAGTGAATTTCAAGTGGATTTAATGAGTGTTTCCTAAACTTCAGTAATTCTCGTATTGCTATCACCAGCTTGCCATATTTTGTTTACCACCCACACTGTTATCTACTTAAGTTTTAAAATTTCCTCATCTTTAAAAACTTCTTATCCTAAGCAATGCCACTTGTGAAAATACAGGTTTGATATCATCGTTATACACTCATTTGAAAAGAACACAAAACCATTAACACAAAAATATTTATCAATGGAATTACTAAAATCATATTATCACCAAAAATACTTATAGCACCCTCTGGGAAAGACTGAATTAAACAGTTAAATATTTAAAGAAGGCAACTCATGAGAAATTGGTAAGAAAATGGAAGAGACTATTTATCAAATCTGTGATGAGGTATGAGGAGTGTATGTGAAGAAATTTTTAAATTCAGAACTGTAAGAAGAAATCGTAAGAGAAAATGTAGACAGATTAGACTTCATAAAAATTTAAAACTCTGCTTATACAAAAAGCAAACCTCAACAAACTCTGCTCAGCGTCTTTCATGAAATCCAAGAGGGCTCCAGGTGAGGAGAGCACTGCGTCCATGCATCTATCTGGTTTAATGTAACCTGGGGCTCAGAGAAGACCAAATCCTGGCAACAAACTGCCTCCCACTGTCTTTCTCTTCTCCTGCCTTCAGGCCAGGTCCTGGGGAGCATCATGTCCTGCTGACTTGGGCACCACAAATCCATGCACTTTTTCATACCGATCTTTCCTCTAACTCAGGGTTTCCCAGCCTCAGCACTATTGACATTTTGGGCAGGATATTTCTCTGTTGGTGGGGTTGGGGGTGGGCGGCTGTCTGTGCACTGTAGGATGTTTAGCAGCATCCCTGGTCTCTACCTCTTTATGCCAGTGGCAGCTTCACCCCCACCCCCCAAGTTGTGACAATCAAAAATGTCTTGAGACATTGCCAAATGTCCCCTGAGGCAGGGGAGCAAAAATGTCTCCATTTCAGAACCTCTGCTCTAACTCTTGTTTTCTGTCTGGTGCCTCCGGGAAGATGAATCCCCCACCAGCCAGCCCACATGCTTCACCTTTCCATGCTAAACCCCAAGCCCAACACCTGTGCCTCCCTCCAAAACCATCCCGATGTTCAAGTCTGGCCACCTTTTCCTTCTCCCAGAGCACTCAATTCTGTTACAGCATTTGTCACCTTCTTTTCATATTTCATTATTTCCTGGGATCACAGATGGGAAGCTTTAAAGAAACCTTGTCATTTACATAGTGTAAACTCCTCTTCTTATCGTTAAAGAAATCAAGGCTTGCAGATTTGGTCCTGGTTTCAGCTTCCTCGGCTGCTTGCCACCCTAGAATGTAAGCCCCTGGAGGGTGTGTATTAACCACGCCTTTTATTGTCTGAATGCTGATGCTTTGACATTTGGGACCTTGCTGACTCTGGAGGGACTTCCCCTCCCAGGGTTAGCCAATTCCTAGAGATAGTAAACAACTGGCCTGGGAGTGCACTTTTCAAAAGTGAACCAACCAATCCGGAGCCCACATGCCCGCCACCTCCTTTACTGGGCTCTCACACTCTGGGCCACTATCGCTTGAGGCCAGGTACCAGACAACTAGGGATAGCTCCTATGCCCCAGAGCCTGCTGAAATTATTCAAACTAGCCAATCCTAAGGCTGCTTACCTTGCCTTACCCTTCCTTCCCATAGAAACCAGAATAAAGCCGCTTCCCCACAGAGTCCCCCTCTCCTGCTGCCTCCTGAGTGACCTGGTGCTTCTCCATGTGGCCCTGCATGGGGTGGCATGCTCCCTGCTCTTGGGATCTGGGAGTATAACAATCTTTACAATAGCAGTTGCCTCCTGATCTGTTGGCCTGACTACACTTAAATAATAATAAAATCTATGTTAAAATAGGGGAGGGACCCTCTCTGTTCACCTTCTTAGCCTTGCACAGTGCCTTGCCCAACTGGGGCTCAGTGAATCAAATCTAACTTCAATGTTATGTGGGACTTTTCTTCCAAAGTTTCTCTGCCATTTGCACACCATGTTCCTGCATATTATTTATACCTGTACAAGACACAGTTTCACCTCTCAGACATGCACAGAATGGGGCAGACTGTCATTCAAAGAAACTCAGACTGCGGATGTCTGGTTCAAAATGAATCACATGAATTGACAAGGGATTTTTTTTTTTTTTTCTAATTAGGTTTTTCCTCCAATGTTGTTAAAATAAGCTTACATTCCTTGTGATGGGGGATGCTGATACCTGCTTGGTTGAGTGACAGAAGAAGATGATCAAGTGAGAAATATTTGCTAAAGATAATTCATAACATGCTGAAATCATAGAAACATAGATGCTTACATCAACCAAATGAGAAAATATATGGGAAAGCACTTTGCACAATATAAAGAACTCTATAAAACAAGGTATAATACTAGTGATAACCACTGTGCATTTGACCCTGCTAAGTATTCTCAGCCACCGTGATGACAGAGGTTGACTACTTTAAAGCTGTACATTTTAGGATGTCAATCTCCTTTCCATCACTGACATGATACTCCCTCCAAGTCGAGTACACACAGTAAACTAAAACAACAAAGAAAAATGGTATGGTCAAAAAATAACACCATGCACAGTTGGATTTGTTTTTAGTGAAAAGCAACTAGAAAATCTGAAAACTGCATTTCTGTTTAGCCCTTCCATCCAATCCCAAGTGTTTATAGCTAAGGTAACATCCATGTGTTGGGGTCTCATACCTGTGTTAGAACCTCCCACGTCCTTAGTTCCTCACTGGAGAGTCAGGCTCAATAAATGAACTTTCAGGAGCTGACAGCTTTAATTAAGAGTCTGGACCCAACTTACACAGTTGATTAGTCCTGAGAATAGAAGATTAAACTGAAGCACAGTTCATGAATTTGCAGATGGCTCTTCCTTCACAGTTTTGGGAGGATACTGAATGCTTGTTTTCAATTTGTGCATAAAAGCCACTGGGGTTCCTGCCTGCTGACACTGTAAATATATGGCCCCACAGACACATGGTGGGGAGAAAAGCAAGGAAAAGGATGATTTGGGGTCAGTCACAAGAACTGAGCTAGGGCTTCCAACTGAGTTCAAGGGTATTTTTGTTTTGTTTTGTTTTGTTTGTGATAAAATATACATAAAATTTCCATTTTATCCCCTTTTAAGTGTACAATTCAGT